TGGTTGCAAAAAGCATGAATATCTTATGTACCAATCGCTACACGGCTCGATTAAGTGTTAAAGTAAGTACTCGTCCGTAGACTCTTGGTTGGTAAACATGTGTAAAAGTCTGATGAAAATCTCTAGTCGATTACTGGGCATGAGAAATAAAGACGACAGGATTCAACGATATTTATCAGATAATTTAATCACTTCGTGTTCCATCTGGCCTCTTTCGAATGTAAATTCTAGTTCAAAATTAGAAATTCACGAGCACGTTATAAGGTTAGCCCCCTCTGTACCAAAGAACGTCAGCATAAATTCTGATTGGCCACAAGAGGGCCCCACCAGGGTGTCTTTATTAAGTCGAATATCATTCTACAGTCGGTGGTGAAACGGGGGCAGGCGGTACTGGAAGCTCGAAGCGCGCGCAAGGGAGGGAAAGGGGTGGTTGCACGTTAATTGGACACACGCGAAATTAATGAAAGCGGCGGACTTTGAAGTCACCGGCAGCAAAAGAACGACCCTCACAGGTGGGTGCAACAACGTACGTACCCCGTTTCCTGCAACCGTTCTACGGCGGCGCACAATAATTATGGCAGTCGTGTGATCGCGTTCCGCCCGTCGTCCCTCGTTTTTCGTCCATCCCCCTTCCCAGACCCTCTCTAAAGGGGTTGCTTCGTGGCCGTTGGAAGATATGTGGCGGTGGGTCGGGTTTTAGTCCGGGAGAATATTAAAGTTTGCTCATTAACCGCTGATGCATTGCCCCAGTCCACCCTCTCCACCTGTCCTAACGGGCAACGACACGATACTCAGCGAAGAGGGGCGGAACGCTTCCTCGGGCAACGGTTAAAAAATGCTCCAGCCCATCCGTTTGCATTTTCGGATGAATATCTACGACTCTCGGGACTCGTGGGGGTTAATTACACCCTTTAGGGGGTTGCAGAAATTGAAGGAACGGAAATTCAATTGTTTCGGATACAGTAAATCCTCGATAAGAGAAGCACTGGTAAGGAGAGGTCCTCAGGTATAACGCTGACTTTCTAATGATATTCAGCATAGTGATAGAGCTTGGGATTCTGAAGCCGATGACATTTGTTTCAATCACATATGACATTCATTAATTTATGAAATATTTAATGTTCAGTACTGAGGAGTTTTCGAACACACATCGAGGATTACTGTATTATGTTTAATTAATATTTACAAGAAACACCCTACAGTATTTTTACAATACAATCTCCTTGAATTGTTTGTCGTAAATATACTTCGAGAGAAATTTCGTTTCAAGATTGAAAAGGGATCGAGAATGTTTCGTAGTCAGGGTGTCAAGTATATACGAAACAGATGTTCCGTCGTGGCTGAACGGTGTCTGGTGTGTCGCGAAGGGGAGGATGGCTCGAACGTCAGGTGGCTGGAAAAATGGGGGTTGGTTTCGTTTTTACGAGGGTCGAGAACGCCCCGCGAACTCCGTTTTGCGAGTGAAAATTCGATTCAGCCGTGAAAAAGAATATTAGAAGCTCGGCATGAGAAAGTTTCGAGATCGTTGCGCGTCCACGGAACGGGGTGTAATACTTCGGGAACGGCTAAGGGAGGGGTGGTGTGGTGGGGCGTATACAACGAAATGGATTTCGACATCCAGTGACTCGGGTGGGGGGGGCGAGGGGGAATAGGTTTACAGTCGAGGGGTTGCGCGCGATGTCTACGAAGTAAAGGTCCCCGCTTCAAGTGATAAGAAATCTCGAACTTGCAAAGCAGCCGGATGAAGTTGCCAATCTCGAAAGGTCTGCTTCTACTTCTACGTCTGTAGCATGTGTACGCAGAGTCGACAAAAAGGAAATTCGATATATAAACGTGGTAGCAAACGCGAGTACACAAAATTGGATTATCTGAAATGACGGCCTCGTCTTCGGTAATTCGAAGGAATATTTTTTTCGGTCGATTTTAAGAAGATGCAACTAATATTCTGGTAAGAAAATTCTATTCGGACGTGCAACAGAAATAGATGGAATTTCGAAGGTCGTCTGACCAAACATTGGCTTATTCTACTCGAACGTAGAAACGTGTCGTTTTAATATCCTGTTTCTTTTTTAATTCAAACCTTCGACATTTCATTAATTAAACATTCTAAATCAGAGGAGTATCTCTTTATCGCATGAGCGTATGGAATCCATAGTCCTGAAATTGGAAATACGATTTTCATGTTTTTCGGCGGGAATATGCACGACAAAATTCCGTGTAATTCGCGTACAGCTGCAACGATGTTCAACGGCAGACAGATTTCAATTAAATCACGGAACGGTTCGGTCTATATTCTACCGTCATTGCGAATTTATGATTTGAATATCGTGAAAACAGCCTCGGTTAATACACGCGATATTACTTTGGTGTCCATTGTGCACACCGTTCGGGCACGAGTTATCCGTAAAAGTTACAAATGTTTTTCCACTAACACCCCCCGTATGAAGTTAGGATTTCCAATTATGCCGACCTACGTATAGGAAATTCGTTATCCATAACGATCAAACGAATAGATTAATTCAATGCTAAATTACTCGAATCATTGGTTCGACGATTGTATTAATGAATACCATTATAAACCCATGTGAAATACAATGGAACGAACGAACAAAGGTTTATTGTTTATTCTCCACAAAATCGAAATACGTCACAAGAAGTGTCGGAGAATACTATTGAAGAATTCCCGTTGTAACAGTTTAAATTGCCGCAAAGACGAGATGCGACGGAAAAATAAATCCGCGAATAAGAGCTGCGGTATCAAGTAGTTGTGCAATTTGTCGTATCTCCTTCTACCAGAGAATTTAATATCCCTGTTGCTCGAGCAATTTTTCCGAACGACATAGAGGTACCTGAGACAATTCCAGCGCGTCCACCCCCCCTCCCCTCTAACCGCTAATAGCAATTTAACCGACGCGTAGATCCAGGTAGCGCGTAATTAAGCCCCACGCCGTCCGCCTACCCTCTATCGTTCTCTAAACGCGTTCCCGTCGTTCCATAAACGTGAACCGAGCAGATTTTGCGGCTATCCAGGGGTATGTACGCGCGTTATGAAACCCGGAAGTGTACCGACCGCATTAGTCGCACTACAACCTCCCTCCCAGATATCCTATATTCGAGGAATTCCACGCTGTTTCTTCGCGCGTGACGACCCAGGCGATCATTCCGAAACCCTTACGGGAAAAAACTACTCTGAGCATGGGGAGCAACTAAACCGTTAACCCTTTAACGCCGAAACCCTTAAATCGTTATTTAAAAATGATGAGACTGATGTATGCGTTGTATCTTGTTGTTTTGAAGTCGAAAATATCGAACAACGAATTCAGCGACGAAAAACTGAAGGTCACCAAATCCGATACGGTCCTTAAAATGCTACATAATTCATTAATATGTTTTTCGATACAGCAAATAGGTAACGAGTTGTTTTAGATAGTAGTTTTTATTGACACACCCTGTATATAATACGAATTGACTCTTAATACACCCATATCGATGATACATTAGTTCTTCAGAATCGATGATATTAAACGTTTCTTTGCATTAAAATAATCTATTCTCCAGTTTCTAACAAATACAAGCCTGACAAATGTTACAAGAGAAACATTGTGAAATCATAGTTTGGCCGCCACTGTATATCCTCGTGAACATAAAGGGATCTTTAATCCGAGAGTGTCAGTACCCGTTGTTGTTTCATTTTCCACTTCCCTCCACCCAGTTCCCAACGAAAATACGCCAGCGTCGCGACAAGGTCGGAACGTAAGGGACAACAATGGCGTTTCTGGCCCGTACAAAGGATACAAGGGGGCGTGTCACGGTGGATGTAAACAATGTCTCAGCCTGTGTATTACTACCTGCGAACCGGACAAAGTAATCGTGAGCGGTTGTCGTAACGAGTTTCCGCGCCGTGGAACGTCGATCCTTGCTCGTGTGCTCTCGCGGCAGCAACGACGAAACTTCTTCGATATAGTGAATTATTCGAGACGACCGAATCGTATTCCCCATTCTGCGAACGTATTCTTCCAGACGATTCCGTGAACGGACTCTCGAAAGCAGCCTGAACAAAGCGCACGTCGCAGGTTCGCTGCTTAATTCCCTTTCGATTTGCTACTTGTTGCGCTAATTCACGGCAGCCGCCGATGCGTGGTTTCCTTCTTTGTGGGTATAGGTTCCTGTGCCCGTAGAATCATAATGAGAGTTTACTGTAAGATCGTCACAGGGAGACTTGTGCCGAGGATACCTTGCTAATTCTGGGTTTTGCGGTGGGAACAAATTCTATTGGGGTCAGTGACTGTGGTGGTACGAGGTGTGACAATAAAATAGTTTTCTATCCGTCGAAGTAGGACAGATATAAACAGTCACGTCCCTGAACTGTATAACCTGATCCCCTCCACCTACCTACCTACCTGCGAATGGTCGCGATTTCGACAACCGTTTCAGTCACCGTGCAAATGTGTTCGCGTAAAGACGTGTTTGAGTTCGTTGATTCACGTGATAAATAAAACGCAATTTATGTGTGTGTGAGACAATAAAATTTCGAGAAGAATTCGTTTCAACATTTTATTTCGAGAATCAAACACGGACATGGAAAGGGTATGTAAAGATTATTGGACATCAGTGGACTGTGGATTTTATGGATTTATAACGTATCGGGATCTGTGGAATACAATAAAGGACAAAAATTTGTTGTTTTCTATTTTATTCTGAACCCAATAGGGTACTTAAGGGAAGAAACAAATTTCTATATTTGCTCTCGTCTCTATGAATTATTTTCTAAAACGTTATTTTGCATAAGAATCCACAGTCTAGACATCATAGATGGAAGATTTCTAGAAATCCCCACACAGGTGTGATCTCATTCTCTTCTGTACCGCGTGTATCCAACGCGAAAACACGTGTCTTCGTCCCAAAGAGTAATGGATGTCTCGGCTTAACCGTCGACACCCAGAAGACGATCCTCGAACGATCAATGGTTTTAAAACAACGATTCACGTTCTTCTTTCCAGAAATCCGAACGTGATCGATCACCACGCCCGGAACGACACGCTTCTGCCCGCCAGCCGCGAGAAGAGCCGTTTCCGTAGCCTGACGTGGGACGAATACGACCCGGTGCATCAAAAATACCTGGAGATCGGTAAGTCCGTTACAACGATATTTCTACGGATTAACAAAAACCGCTCATTCCACGAAATTAGTGGCGTGTTCTTGGTGAAGAACCGATATATGGCAGCTTGACCCTTCCACTCACCTCCATCCTTTTGCGACGTACCTACTCGAAAAACCTCGCACCGTAGAAATGATATCACGTGGGAAGGTGGTCGAATTAGCCGGTATCACGGGAGGCGCCCTCAGGGGGCCACGTTTCATCCGCGCACACGCAGAAAGAACGCTGTGGAAAATGAAGTGGCAGGATAGAAATGCTGGTGCTCACCGTTCGCGCGTACTCGCTTGTCCAGTAGAGAGAGACAGGGACAGAGAGAGAGAGAGAGAGAGAGAGAGAGAGAGAGAGAGAGAGAGAGAGAGAGAGAAAGAGAGAGAACCGAGGGAAAGACTTTCCGTGAGGTCATTTTTATTTTCAGCGGCTCTCCGAGCGCGGCAGATGACGTGAAAGGAACCCTTTGACCTGAAAAAGAATTTGTGGTCTTTTTCCCCCCGCCGGTATTTCCCTCTCTCTCCCTCACCCTCTCGCTTCTATTACTACCCCCTCTTTTCTCTACTCTCACTCTCACTCTCCGAACCCCTCTACTTTCTTTCTTTCCTTCCTTCGCCGTTGCACGCATTTTTTTGCGCGCCGTAACGTTAGGACGAACGCGGGCATAATTCCATTAGCATTTGAAGGCAATGCGAGAGGACTAATTAAGCTAATTAGGAGTGTTTCATGACGGCGATGCTCTTGATGCGCCCGCGTATTCCGACCGGCAAAAGGAAGGCCGCCGCCTCTGCGCGTACGTGAAAATGTAGCGGACTAATTGAAATAAAAAAAGGCATCCAGAAGAGTGTAATTGAGGGAAATGGGGGAAAGGGGGTAAACCTGCTCTGTAAATGGCTTCGAGTATTCGTTTAATGAGTTCTTTAGAGTCACGGTTCCGTGGGGCCGCGCACTGCTACGACAAGCATCACCGCGAAAAGGACCAGTTGGTGAACTCTGTCGGTACGCGATCAGTTGTCAACTTTTTTTTTTTTTTTTTTTTTGACGAAAAACCTTGAGCAAGGTTCACCGCCTCCGATGTCACCCACTAAAAAATCCCCGGTGACCCTCGGGCATAGGGCTGTCAAAATCAACCTGTGCGAATATAAGGTGTCAATCGAATGTTTTGCACTGTTCGATTAGAAATCATTCTCGTCAGACAAGTAGAATTACCAAAGCAATCAAAATGATCAGTCAATACGCTCTTATCATACTCGGTACATTTCCTTGGATCGTTCACAAATTTCATTGCAATATGAAAGTGAAGAAATTAGTTGATTTACAAATTTCTATATTTTCGAAAGTTTGTCGTGTTTATCAACCGATAGAAATAGATAGAACATTTATCATCGGTAGTTCTAGCATAAAGTGTTGCGTGAATCTAAACACATGGCTATGTTCATCTGTATACAGTGAATGCTCGATGAGTTTTTAATGAGATTCATCACAGTGCTAGAGCTTGGAATTCCAAAGCCAATAATATTTGTTTCAGTCGCATATGGCCATTAATTTATGAAATATTTAATATTCAGTGCCGAGCAGCCTTCGAACACTCATCAAGGATTTACTGTTGCAATGGCTTCCACAAAAAGAATGAAATGCCTTGAACTTGATCCGGTTAAAAAATAAAAAGACTAACGACGAAGCAAACGTCAGAATTCGCGTTGTCAAGGTGGAGATTAATATTAGTCCTGACCGATTCGCATATCCTGCCGGTAATAGCAGGGGCCGATTGTAATCGTCCTTCGTAGTCCATCGAGACACCGTACCGGATCTCGATGAAATATTGAACTGTCAAGTGTGTGTGCGCGTGTGTGTGTGTGCGTGCGCCAGAGGTCTATGATACTTGAGTGGGCCAGAAACTCAACGTATCAGACGATCGTTTCATTAATGAGTGATCAATAGCCGGGCATAATCGCGCCGAATGCTGGCTGCTGCTTAACCGCACGCTCGGTCGCGCTATCGGTGGGACGGGTTCTATTGCGCGGTAATTTATTATTATCGTTAGCCCCGTCACTCGAAATTCATTAGGCGCTAATTAACTCAGCCGCTATTAACGTTCGTATCGAATTTTCGACGACTTGTTAACGAGCGTCCTGGCACCCGAGGAGATCCCACTAACACCTATTCACCGACTGTACTTTTGGATTATTGTCCTATTAATGGTATTTCGATTCCCCTACGATGTACCTTGACGGTCCCTAAGATTCATCGAACGGAATCCACAGATATTATTTTCCAAATAAATCTTCTCGATACTTTCGATTGATCATTTTGTACGACGTAAACTGTGCACCTTTCTGACAGTTCATAATTTTACATGAAAGTTCATCTATTTGTCATAAAAAAACTCTAATGGTTAAACGGTCTATATCGTTCCGGTTGCGAAATACGATAATAGAAAGACGGGTTGAAAAGATCGCCATTTAAACGTATGCAGGTATCCCTCGATGTTATAGATTGACCCTTCATGTTCCTCCTATTCACGAGCACCCTATCCCAGGCGAAGGGAAAAACGAAACAGTACTTCCTCGATCGGGAACAGCCCGAGAAACGGATAGCCGACAGTTTTCGAACGATCTTACCAGTCCCCTGTATCTCTGAAAGGATCGATGGGCGACGCGGCTAGAGCACAGGTGGAAGTCGAACAGACACGACACGGAAACACGTTCGCCGTCGTCGCCGTTTCTCAGGTCGGTGAAAAATCACGTCGAAACGATAGCAGCCCGCATTCCGTCCGCTTCCCTGCTAGCTCGTCCCTCGTTCACGTGGGCCGACCACGATCTCTAGAAAAATGGGCCGTGAAAATGGAACCGGATGGAGAACGACCGCCCCACCCCGGAGTGATTAATTTTTTTTCTTCCTTTGTCTTTCTTATCTGACCGAACGATTGCCTCGGACTGTTCGACGGTTCGTTGCGAGACCTTTCACTGCCTTGGAACTTTCTTCGTCGTTTCGAAATCGTCCATTGGCTAAACAAAAAATTATTTATAACTTTGAAAATATTAAATTTTCGATCCATGTGTATCAAGACTTTTTTTCCATCATTTGGCGAGTGCTATCTATCCTAAAAGTTGTCAACCCTTTTTTGTATCGCCCTGTATACAACAATTCTTGACTTGTACTACTGATTATTATCTTCAGAGCATATTACCAAAGACAGTATTACAACAATTACACATTTACGAATCCATGGACCATTCAGGACATTAAATCCTCCATCTATTTCGTTCTTTTATCCCCGTGTTTTAATCGTATTGTCTGCAATTACTTCTCCTAAGGGCGGACGCTTCTTAACCAATCCAATTCCATGTAAAACGCGACAGAGCCCCTTGTCCTCCGCATAAACACGCGCCCCGCCTCAGCATCGATTAGGGCTCCCGCTTCTCCCTCGTTCAAGCAGGATCAACCGCACGACTAAAACAACGCCCGACCGCCATAATTTACTTGTAGTACACGTCCCAGCCGTTTTCCATCTTCCGCACTCGCCGCACGTACGGAAACTTCCTTAAGCATCGACAAGGCAAACTTCGCTCGGGACCCCGCGAAATAATTTTATCCGCAGCCGAATCCTGACGATCGACCGGTTCCCTGGAAATTCTACACGGACAAATGGAGATTGTAATCTGAGACACGACTCATTCGAAATCGTCCAGACTCGTTCTCAGTCACACAACTCTAACCTAACGTAATTTTTATATCTACCTTATAAATATGTACACTGTTTGGCTCATGCACTGGAAACTAAAGTTAACTACGGATTTTTATGCATTTCTGGCATCCCTTAACCCGTTAACTGCATTTGTCAACTACAGTAGACGTCTACTTTGTCATTTTAGTGACAGTATCTGGAACATTTCGTGCCGATTGACCACCGCAGTGAAAAAAGCTGTACGTGGCCAGGCACTTTATTTCGCCTTTTAAGTCATAAATCGTCGAATATATATATCTCTGTTCGTTTAGAGGCTGTTGGTTTTGTTTTGAATTATATTGGGATAGTGATTTCACACAATAATTTTGTAACATTATTTAAATAATCCAGCCTCTTTGCAATGTACATACGTGGCATATTTGGGTGATGTGTGTAATATAATTAGTAGTACAGTAATAATATAAGTGATGTGAGTTCAAGTCAATCCGTAAAAACTTATATCGTTGATACCAAAGATCTGAGCAAACGTAGTTTATTATGATATTATCCCAATCGTAAGAACCGTGGCAATAAACGTGTTAACTAATAGAGCTGTAATAGGTTGCCATTAAAAGGTAGCCGTCGATGATTTCTCCGACAGGATGACACAATATTAATTACCAACGAAATTTCAAATAAATCGAAGCTAATGACCCGTCGAATCACCGTAACACATTGCGCCAAGATGAATACCTCCATTGTTTAACGCCGTTTCAGGCTATTGCAAACATGGACCTTGTCGATGTTTGTCGATAAATCCGACGTATTCGATAATTTCCGAGGAGTAGCTGTCGGCCGATGTTAACATTCCGGCGACTCGTTTCGAAATTAAATTACTCGAATATCGCCCGAGGGGAGGGGGAGCTAGGGGGAGAACGGAATACACCGGTGGCGTTCGGAAACATAGAATATGTATAGAACATTTTCAGCGTATATCACGGAAGGAATAGCAAAAGAGTGCCGGCGGCACGTGCTCGCAGCGGCATATGTAAACCTCTCATTGGTATTTTTTCGCGGAACGCTCGGTCGATCAAGGTGGATCAGAAATTTTCACGGCGTGGTCGTAAATATAGAGAAAAATAATTCGCGTATGGGGGGGGGCAGGTGGAACCAACGAAACAACCAGATTTTGTGAAAATAACGTCAGGAAAATATATCACGGTCACCGCACCCCGTCCAACGCGTGCATTTGAATAACATAATGCACCGGAAATATCAACAAGGAAAGAACTCGAAAGAGAAATTCGCAGACCGT